GGGGGGGGGGGGGTCGTCCTCACATCCTCCCGGTTCATCTTGACCCACTACAATCAATCCATTCCCTCACAGACACACAGGATGATGCTAATTCCCTCACTTAACCCCTCTCCCAGGCTCCCTACTGCTGCAGGAGAAAGTCCATTTTCTTCAAGGCCAGGACTTGGTGATCTGCCCCCACTGATCTCTCCAGCTCCACCCCTGTACTGACAGGACAGTCACTGAGCCTGCTCTTTGCCCCACTCTGTTCCCAGCCCACCTCTTGCTCATCTTCCAAGTCCACCTTGGACTTCACTTCCTCCTTCATAACACTGGCCCCACCCCAAATAGGACGGTGGGTGCAGGGCAGCCCCAGGCCTCTGCATGCCCCATCCCAGTGAGGGCAGTGTTGTTAACAGCCCCGTCCCTGGCTTCCCTGCTCACTCAGGCTCTCATGTTACCTTGTTTTGTATTCTTGGGGGCACTTATCTCTCTACTAAGATGCTGTGTTTGCTTGTTGGTTGACCCCCTCCCGCCCCACTCCCCAAAGCCACCTTTGAAAAGGCCTTGAGATATTCATCGCGAATCCCTAGAGGCTACAACAGCGCACAGAACACAGCACCCAGGAAACACGTGCTGAGCCGGTCAGTGGCAAACCACCCTGCCAGCCAGACGGTCAATCATCTGACAGATAAGAAAACTGAGGCTGGATGAGGCTCGGTCTCGAAGGCTGGAAAGTGGCGGTGCAGGAAAGGGCCCACTGCAGTCTGACTGTTGGCCACGCAGAGGGCGGTCCCTGGACCAGCAGGTCAGTCTCACCAGGAGCTTCCCAGACACGCAGAGTCTCAGCCCCACCCACAGCTCCTGAATCAGATTCGGCATTTTTACAAGATCCCGGGCGACGTGAAGCACGTTCGCGTTTGATGAGCTTTGCCCGTCTCACGGAAGGACAGTCCCCAGGGCAGGGGAGGTCCTCCAACCCTGCTTCCCGCCCCCCAAGGACAACGGGAGCCGCCTGAGGTGGAAAGGCCCCCGCAGGCCGGCGGCGATGTGGGGGATGGGCCCGGGCGCAGAAGCCCCGCCCCACCCACCTTCCGTCTCTGCTCCTCCTCCTCCTGCATCTTCAGCTGCAGCTTCCGCACCATCACCTGGCGCTTCCACTCGGGGATGGGCCGGCCCTGCTCATCGTGCGTGGGGATGAGCGCCTCCACGTCGAGCTGCACGCCTGGCGCCGGGGTGGCGGGCGGCGCCGGCGCCACGCTGCCGTTGAGCAGTGGCTGGGGCCCCACGGCCGGCGGGGTGGGGCTGCGGGCCCGGGACAGCGCGGGCGACGCCTGCGGCAGCGGCGCTTCGGGCTGCGGGGAGAAGCGGCGAGGCTGAGTGACCGGCAGGCACGGGGGCGGGGCGGGGTACCTGTCGAGCCGCCTACCTGGGAGATCGGCTGCCCGCTGCCCGAGAACACCGTGGTCAGCCCCTTGCTCTGCGGCGTCGGCTTCAGACTCTTGCCGGCCTTGATCTCCGCCAGTAGCTCCGAGTTGTCACCCGTCGGGGACATCATGTTGAAAGACTTGGTGCCTGCACGGAGGCAGGAGAGGAGGTGCTGGCCAAGCGGGGGGGTGGGGGGGGTGCGAGGTCTGCATCCCCGCCGCCCCTAGCCTGCCCCTCTGCCTCCCCCTCCCCAAGTCGGGAGGGGCCGGGACCCAGATGACAGCTCTCCAGATCCCAGGCCCTGGGGGCGGCTCTTGGGTACCCCAGAGGCGGGCTCCCCGCTGACAGCTCACAGAGCCCCACCATCTTCCCGGCCCTACTCACGGGGCATGGGGGCCCTGCCTGGAGGCCCCTGGGAGTTCATGCTGGCTTTTGGGCCGGCCCTGGGGACTCCAGCGAATGTCTCCACCCAGGACACTGACTGACCTGCTCTAAGACACTACCTGTCTAAGGCCAGCCACCCGACCTTTGTCCTGGGTTCCCTGGCTCTGCCAGCCAGGGTGGAGTCTCCCTCCAGCCCTCTCTGCATCAGCAAAGCTCAGTGACCCTTGGACTGAGTTGCCTGGGGCCTCCGTGGCTATATGGGCTCAGGACCCTGGATACCAGAACCAAGCCAGTCCCCTCCCCACCTCCCACACAGACAGACAGACAGACATGGACGCAGACACACTGGTTGCATGCCCGTTGTGTAGCAAAGCGCTGCTCAGCTCTGGGGGACCTAGGAAAGCGGAGCCTTTACTAAGGATACGGGGTGAAGTCACCCAGGAAGAAGGGCCAGGTGAAAAGCATGCAAATAGGCAGGTGCACGGAGTTTGCATTTTCTGACAAGGCCCACGGAGGCGGCTGGGGTTTGGGAAGGGCTGTCTTTAGAGACCCAGGGAGGGGTGAGAGCTGGGTGAGGGGAACAAAACAGGCCAACAGCTCTTGGGTTCCCCAGGTTGGGGATCCCTGAGCGAGCAGCAGGAAGGGTAAAAGGGAAAGCTGCCAGGCAGGCACTGGCAACAGGCTCATTTATTTGGGCAAAACTGAAAGCCATGGGTAGAATTTATGGGTGTGTGTGTGGGTGTGGTGGAGGTAGGAAGGTAGCTGTGGGGCCAGTGGCCCCACCTGTAGTGTGGAGGACCCCTGGCCTGCTGGCCCTTGGCCCTGCCCCCTCCTTTTTTTTTTTTTTAAAGCCCCAGGTCCTTGGCCTTGCTTCCCCTGAGCGTGCCTTGCTCCCCGCCCCGCACCTCAGCCAGGAGCCCCGCACGCAGCTACTCACTCTTCCTGTGTCTCAGGACTCTCACTTCTAGGGATTGAGAGGAGAGAAGTGACAGCAAAGTTAGGACAAGGAGGAGGCCGGGGTGAGGCTAGGACAGTGGGGGGGGGGGGGGGGGGGGGGGGTGTGTGGATAGAGAAGGGAGGGCAGGAAGAGGGGAGGGAGACATGCAGAGGAGGGGAGACAGGAGAGGAGGAATTTTCCAGCTCATCTGACCCTGGCTCAGGCTGCTCTGGGGCTCCACAAGGGTGGTCCACCCAGTTCCGGGCTTTACTGCTGTCCCTGAGGACTGGGTAGGGCTGCCACTGGCCCTGGTTCCCCCAGCAAGGGCCTCAAACTTGGCATTGGGTTGGGATAGGGCACCCAGCCCAGGCTCTGCTGAGAAGGGGTTTCTGGAGAAGCCCAAAGTCTATTTTTCTTCCGTTCCTAGCATCAGCCTTGCTCCAGAAAGAAAAAGCTAACCCCAGAGCTAGGGCCCTTTCTGGAGGCTCAGCTGGTGGTGGACAGGCTACGATGGGCCCTGGTCAGCAGGGGCTGAGGCTCCATAGGGATCTGAAGGGAACCCAGGCTGGCCCTACCCTGGACCCGGTTATACCCTTGCACTCCTAGTGAGGGACATGAAGCTTTGGGTGTCACTAAACATGGTCCCTGCACTGAGTGGCTGGGTGAAGAAGGCAGGCGTGTGTGCGCGCACACACACACACGCACACACACGAGGCACCACCTCCTGGGCCTTGCAGGAGCCCTGGCATGCGAGAGACTGCCCCACCTCACAGAAGAGAAGCCAGGCATCTTGTTCACCAGCCTAGACCTTAAAAGGATGCCCATGGGGGTCATCAGGAGGGAAAGGGCAGAGCATGATGGGTCACTGGCCTCGTCCCCATAGCCAGGTGGTAGCTGGCCTGGGGCCTCTGGGGTATCTGGCCAGGAAGAGCCCCTGAAGCATCTGAGAAAAGCTAGCTAGCTTGGAGGAACAAGAGATAGGGGTGAGGAGCAGAAGAGAAGCTCAGGATAGAGAAGGGGCAGGACGAAGGTTGGCCCCTGCCTCTTTGAATCCAGTTCTACTTAGAGCTGCCCGGTTAGCACCAGCCCATTAGAAACAGCAGCCGCCAGAGCTGGGAGGCCTTCCCTGCTGCATGGGACGTGGGCCCAGAGAGGTCACTGAGGTGCGCTAGATCACACTGAGGCAACCCAGAGCTTCCTCTTCGGGTTAGGTCCTCACTGGGGTGGGGGCTTGCCGCAGGAAGAACGAGTCGGAAAAGAGGGAGCACCGCGGCGGCAGCAGCAGCTGGGGAACGAGCGATGTCTAGGCTTCCCTCCCCTTCAGGGCTGGCACCGCCCCCCACCCCTCAACCCGCCCCTACTCACTGCCAGTGGACGAGGAGGAGCGACGCTGCCCGCAGCCAGGGCCAGCGCCCTCGAAGGGCAGAGGTGGAGCCGGCGGCGGCGAGCTATGGGCCTCCGGCAGGGGCGGCGGCGGCGGCGGGGGCGGCGGGGGCAGCTCCCTGGACGCCTTGGGGTCCGCGGCGCAGCCGTTATGCACGTGGTTCCCGGGGAGCAGCGCCGCCTGCGGGGGAGCGGAGGGGCTGGCGAGTGAGAAGCGGGCGGCCGGGCCGGGTCCCGGGCGGCCGGCGGGCGCGGGCTGGCAGGCACGCACCTCCTCGCTGTGCGCCATGCCCGGGCGTGTGGCCAGCGGCTCCCCGGGACAGCGGCCCAGCTGGCGGTAGTAGTCCCCCGTGCTGGGCTGCTTGCTGAAAGCGCGGGGCTTGCGGCTGGAGTCCTGCCTCCGCAGCCCGTTGTGGCCGTCGCGGGAGCTCAGCTGCGGGAAGACAGCGGCGGAGGGGCTTCAGGCGCTGGTCCCCGGGGCCTCCCACGCCCCGCCCCCCCAGCTCTTCACTTTCCCGGGGCTCATGGCCAGCGGCCGTCGAGGGGTGCAGGCAGCCGGGTTCCCAGGCCCTCCGGTCCTCCGAGCGGGGATGGGGCGAGGGTCCCGGGGAAGGGCAGGCTCGGTCGCCCCCCCAGGGAGGGGTTCTGGGCGCAGGCCAAGGGCAACAAGGGCCCCCAGTGAGGCTAGAAGGGGCGGGACCAGGGGCGGGTTGACCCAGCCCAGTCGCCAGGGGGAGCCGGAGAAGGGGCAGCTCGCAGTTTAAGCCAGCGCGAAGGCCTCTGCCTCACCCCACGCCTGGCTACCCGGCCGTCCCGCGCGTCCCCAAGGCTCTGCCGAACCCTCTCTTTCAGGGACCCCGACCCCGAGGGAGCCCTCTCAGAGCCCTTGTCCTGTTAGGCTCCTGGTTGCCCAAGGCTCTGAGCCGCGCGGTCCCGGGGCTGCTCCTACCTGCGCCAGTGCCGGTGGCCCCCGCTGTGCACCTGGCGGCGGGGGCGGCATGGACCCGACACCTGCGCCACCTGATCCTTCCTCTCGGGTTACAGCCCAGCCCTTGCCCGCCCGCGCCCAAGAGCGCCTATGAGCTCTGTCGCCCTGACATCACCCAGGGCCAGCCAATCCCGCGCCGACCCACTCCCAGCAAGGGGAGATGCCACGGGGGGCTCCACCTGCGTCGCCACGACCGGCCGCAGCGCCTCGCCTGCCCCGTAAGCCAGATGTGGCCCCGCCCCTGCTCCGCTCTCCCTCCGCTAGGTGTCGAGCACCCCAGCCCTCGCCCCCCTCCTCCAACTTGTCCCCTCCATACCCCGTGGACGGAGTGCGGGAGCCACCCGAGCAGTGGAGCCCCGGGTGTTTGGTACCCCCGGGTTCCGGGTCACGCCCCCGCCCTTCCCCTCCCGCATCTGGAAACCATCGACATCCGCGTAAGCGACACCGACACCCGCGCCTAAGCCTCGGGTTTCAGGGGCGGCAAGGCGGGCTCGGATGACAGCGCGGTGGCCCGCCCCATCGCAGCTGCCCCCTGCTAAGCCTAGCCCAGGGAAAAGGACATGGGGCGGCGGGGCCAAAGGCCGAGTCCCTGTGCGGGGGCTGTCCCCTGATCCACCCCCCCCACCCCCCGCCCGTGCGTCCCCGCGGTGGCCCCGGACCTCCCAGCCCCACCCGAACCGGCTCTCGTTGCAGGAAACCCGACACCACAGGATTTGTTTTCTGGGCCAGCCCGCCCCTCGGCGCCCCCTGCAGCCCCAAGGCGCGGACGCCGCGACCCTGCTCCCGCTGCGGTCAAGCAACGGCCAGGCCCAGGGGGCGGAGGCGGGGGCGCCAGGCGCAGTGGGCACACAAAGGGCCCTTTGTGGAGCTGCCTGTCGCCTGCGGCCCTGCACGCACACAGCGGGCAGGGGCACGGGACCTCAAGATCCTGGGGCTCAGGGGAGTGGAGGGGGCACAGGCTGTGCTTTGGCCAGAGCCCGCACGGCGGGCCAGGAAAGTCCGCCCGCCCTTGGCCCTCTGCAGTCCTCTCCTGGGCCCTCTCCACCTCACAGAGATGAAAGGGGAACCCGACTGACAGCCTGGCCGTAGATGGCATGAGGGGAGGGTGGAGTCGCTGTGGAAATTGCCCCTCCCCTCCCCCACCCAGTGGCCTTGTGACCTGGGACACCTGTGGGCAAATTGGTTACTCAGCTTGCCTCTGGAGTGGTTTGCCTTGGGCTTGAGGGAGAACTACAGGTCAGGGCTCCCACAGGACGCTCCGGAGCCTAGACCCCATACTCAGCCACCTGTGGTCTCAGGCTGCCCTCCATGTCCCAGACCAGCGGGCTCTGCCCTGTTGGCCAGCACCCCGGGGGCCCCCTGGGGGGCTCCCCGACTAGCATTCTCAGCCACCGAGACTAGCCCTCTGGCTCCAGAGCCTCAGCCAGGACCCCAGAGGCCCTGACATCCTGGGCACCTCACACTCAATGTGCCCACACTGGACACAGCCCCCCTCCCCACAGGCTGGCTTCTCCCCAACACCTCGCATCTCAGGACTGCCTCTTCCATCAGCCTGGGCACTCAAGCCTCAGACTGGGTAGCCAACCTCAGCTTTACCCTCCCTCAGCCCCCACTGAGTGCGGAGTCCCTCTCTCCCTTCCTCCACCCTCCTCCTGGCCCTCACCTTCCCTGCCCCCTCATCTCCCACCTGGAAGACAGCCCCTTGGGAGCCATTCCCCACCTGAGCCTGGGGCTCTGGGCACAGGTAGGTCTGCGGAGGGGGCAGTCTCTGCCAATTCTGTGACCGCCCCACCACGCTGTGCAAGAGGTCGGGGAGGACCCAGCTCCCTGAGAGGCCCGGCTGTCTGATTATATGTTCCTTCGCCCATCACCAGTTCCCGAGAGGGTAGTGGCTTCGTCTGACTCATCTCCCTGTCCCCAGTGCCCAGCCCTGAGTCCCCCACGGGGCTAGCCAGGAGTTTATACTCTTGAATAGGCCCGGGGCCCCCCCTGCCCTGTGTCCATGAGCCAGGCAGTCTCTTGGCCTCAGCCCAGCGCTGGGAGGCAGGCAGCTGGGAGAAGGTTCACTACCTCCTTCTTGAAGGCCTCCTTCTCCACATGGCGGAGTTTGCTCTTGGTCTGCACGTAGATGTCCGCGGCATGTGGCTCCACAGGGGGCTTGGGAGCCGGGTAGCCTGGTGGGGGTGGGGGCAGTTGGGTGCTTGGGGGTGGGGGCGGCGGAGGGAAGCTGGGTGGTGGTGGTGGTGGTGTGGTTCTCCCCATCTTGCCCTGGGGTCGGCCCAGCTCGGGGCTCAGCATGTCCATGTAGCTTTGTATGTCTGCAGCTCTGGAGCTGGCAAGGCCTGGGGAGGGAGGGAAGGCGGGGTGTGGGAGTTTGCAGAGTCCCCAAGACTGAGACCCCCTTCCACCCAGAAGCAACGCGCCAAGGGGTGAGGTGGGCTTAGGGATACGGCTTCCACGGCTCACTGGGAGCCCCAGCAGCGCAGGGCCCAACCGGAGGGTGAAGGCGTAGCTCCTGAGCTCAGACCTGACAGGGCCGGGCGGCAGGAGTCCGCATGGCCATGCCCCAAACTGCAGGGCCACCCCACCATCTCTGCGGCCACCACCTGGCAGCAGGAAGCAGGTATCACAGGTGGATGGCCACCTAGGCTCAGCGTGTGGTCAGCGCGTGAATACTCGCGTGCCCGCCTCTGCCTAACATTTGCGCGTTGGTGTGTGCAGGTGTGCAAGCATCTGCGCATTTCTTTTGTATTTACAAATGTGTTTGCATCGGTCTGTGGACGTGGGGTGTGCGTGTGTTAACGTGCACACGTGCCCGGATATGGGGAACGGAGGGTTGTGTGTCTGTGCTGTAGTGTAGGTGCGTGCGTGCATCTGCATGGTGTGTGTGTGCGCATCCCTGTGTGCTGTGCAGACACATGTGCCCTCTTGAGGGCGCACAGGTGTGTGTCACATCTGGGGAACATCTGTGTGTGTGAGCGAGTGAGTCATCTGCAGGGGGCGCGTGGGGTTTGTCCCAGGGAGAGTACATGTGGGTGCACAGGTGTGCTTGGGAGCAGCACACACCAGGACAAGTGTCACCGGCCTCTCACCAGGACCAGCAGCCCTTCCTGGTGACCTGGGCAGCCTCCGGCGTCAGCTGTGGGCAGAGTGGGCCTGGGGCTGGCCCTCAGGGCCCGGTGGTCTGTCCCAGTCTGCGCCCCCTCCTCCCTCCTCCCTCCTCCCGGCCTGGCCCGCTCACCACGTGGGGGGCGCCGGCCCTTGATGCTGGAGTGGCTGGAGGAGCAGGAGTCGTAGTTGGAGAGGGTGCTGGTGGGTGAGCTGAGGTCAAAGTTCAGCGGCTGGACCGACACGGTGGTATCGGGTGAAGACATGCCCGAGTCGGGCTGTTTGGTCTCCAGCTCAGCAGACGGATCCCGGGACAGCACGCGGTGCTCCACACTCTGAACAGGAGGGAAGGCAATGAGGTCGACAATGAAGACTGGTGCGCTCGGGCCAGGGTCCTGCTCCGGCATGTCCTTGCTGTGTGGCCCCGGCCGAGCCGCTTCCCTTTCTGGGCTCCCACCCCATAATGAGAATGTCTGTCGGGTTCTTCCCAGGCTAAGATTCAAGCCCAGCCCCCTCGCAGCAGGACCCGGGGTTCTTGGGAAACTCCCACCCCGGCCCCTCTTTGCTCAAGGGGGTGGAGAGATGGCCGGAAGAGGGGGCCCTGGTCTGGACCCCAAGGGCAAGACTGCCATGGCACCAGCCAGAGGGGTGGGCTCCAGTGTATCTGCGGGGAGGGGCTCAGGAGCTGCAGCTGATGGGAACACCTGGGGCAGGTGGGTTAGGGGAGGCAGGTGGGGCCCCACAACTTGCAGGGAAGACTGATTCCCCATTACCCGGCCAGCAGCCCTGGTCTCTCCCTGCCCTACTGGGGCAAATCCCAATACCAGCCCAACCTGTCTCCTGATGGGGCCCTTGGAGAAAGGGCAGGGCCTGGGGTGGCCCGGCTGAGTCTGGAGGGCAGCCGGGCTCAGGGCTCAGGCCACAGGCATGCTGTCCCCACCACTGTCTATGCCCCGCCCATGGGCCTGACCCTCCCATGGGATGGGAGCGGGCTGGGGTGGGGGCTCGCTTACATTGCCCATGCTGGCCTTGCTGCTGGCAAGCCCGCTGGCTGGCTCCGTCTGCTGCCTCCTGCCCAGGCCTGCTCCTCCCTGCCCCGTGCCCCCTCCCCTGCCTGAGAAGTGTCACAGGCCCCCTGGGAGCGGGAGGCAAGCCTCGCACCAGGTAACAGCTCAGCAGCCCTGCTCATTGGCCCTGTAATTAGGGGCTCTGTGGGAGTGTTTGCCTTTTCTGGGCCAGCATTCTGCATGGCTTGGATCTGTCTCTGCTGCAGCTGGGCCTGTCTGGGTGAGGGGGCCGAGGGGCCCACAGCCCACCCAGTTCAGCGGGGCCGGGCCGGGCCGGGCCCTGCTGCCTCTTCCATGAGCCAACGGGAAGCATAGGGGCTGGGCTTCTGGTAGGGGGAAGATGAAAATGCTCTTTTCTTGGCCATCAGCAGTGGGCAATGGGGGTGCCCAGTCCTGACCCCACAGATAGCAGAGGTTAAGGGCCCAGGCTCTGCAGCCCGGAACGCTGGCTTCAATTTTCACCTCTCCCACCTACTAGCCAAGTGACTTGGGGCAAGTCACTTATCCTTCCTGTCGGTGGGGATAACAGTATCTCCTGCCCCATTAAGGTATGAGGAAGATTTTAACAGTTAGTGAAGGGCCAGGGTATGGTAGCCAGTACATGCTACACAATGTCAGCTGTTAGCATTAATTTACTGTGGAGGCTGAGATTATGCTAGAAAGTGCTGGCAGGCTGCGTGCCAGAGTGAGGATTCAAGGGATGGTGTTTATTGCTTATTTATTGCTTACTTAGAGACAGAAGGGCTGAGGCTTTGTGCCTCCTCCCACCCCACCCTCCAAACAGAATCGTACCCTCTCTCAGTGGGAAAGAGCCACCTGTGGTGCAGAAATGCCCCTCACAGCATCCACCCCTGTTTGTATACCCTGGTGACAGACCGTTACGCTCTCTGGGCGGCCCTTTTGGGGGGACATTCTTCCTTGGGTCCAGCTGCAGTTTCCGACTGCTGGGCCTAGCTGTGCTCTGGAGTACCCAGCACCAGGGTGCCCCTGTGTGCTTGCAGACAGGGCAGACGGTGCTGTGGGCAAAAGGCCATCCCACCTTCTCCCCTCCAGACCTCATTTCCTAGTCCCTCTTCTGGCCAGGCTGCCCCCTGGAGCTGAAAGGCACCTGGGAGGCCCACCCTCTGTCTTCCCTCCTGTCCCAAAGGCATTACACCAGATGAGGCAGTGCCCTGAACTTGGAACCAACCACACCTGAGCTCAAGTCCCAGTAGGTTACTTCCCAGCTGCACAACCATAATAAAATAATTTAAACAGAAGTTTCGTTATGAAGCAGCCATGAAGTGAGCAAACATACACTGTCGTGGTCGAGAGCAGTGGCTCCAGGCCATGCCTCTCAGACTCCACCACTTAACAGCTGTGTGACCTTGGGTGAGATGGGGACATTAACACCACCCACCTTAGAGGTGGTGGAGAGTTAAATGAGCTACTACTTGTGGGCTGTGGGCAGGTGAATGGACTTGACCATTCCCATCGGTATGTAAGTGTCTTGCGATTTCTCCAAGCCTTCCTTCTTACCAGGAGGACGCTGGTCCTCTTCCCCTTGACCCTTTTCCTTCACCCCGTCCCTCCTCAATGGTCAGTGGCTCTGGGCTGGGAAGGGTAATGGTCTAGGACACTTCCTCATTGTGTGACCTCGGACAAGGGACAAGGGGCTTCATGTCTGCGAACCTCAGCTTCCTCCACGGTAAAGGGGTAACAACACCTATCTCTGGGGGCAGGGAGAGGCGGGGTGGGGGACGAGATTAAGCAGGGGGCAGCGCCAAGGTCGTACCAGGTTCTCCACGGTGCGCAGGTAGCGGGTGCAGTGGCTGTGGCCATTATAGTCCGAGAGGTCGGCCGCCGTGTACCCGTCACGGTCGCGGACGTCCAGCTCCGCGCCGTTCACTACCAGGATCTGGCAGCACTGCGGGGGGTCGAGTACTGACGACCCCGGTCGCCAGCCCGGACCCCCCGCCCCCCCTCACCGCCCAGCGCCGGGGCAGGGTTGTGCTGAGAGCTCGGCGCCAGCAGAGGGCGCCCGTCCCACCCCCGTCCGCACCTCCAGCTCCCCGTTTTCAGCGGCGTCGTGCAGAGGGGTCCCGCCCCACAGGTCGGCCGTGATCTCGCCGCCGTGCAGCAGGAGCCAGCTGAGCACTTTGGCGTGGCCGCGGCTGGCCGCGAAGTGCATGGCCGTGGCGCCGTCATTGTCCTGCTCCGAGAGGCTCACGTCGGTGCAGCTCACCTGGGCGGGAGGGGGCGGGGGAAAGACGGGCGGGGGCTGGGCGCCGGGCCCCTCCAGGCCCCGCCCCCGTCGGTGCCGGCGGCGGGGCGTGCAGACCCCGCCCTTCCCCGGGCCCCGCCCCGCCCCGGAGCTCACCAGCCACACGATGACCGGGCAGTGGCCCATCTGCGCCGCGGCATGCAGCGGGGTCATGCCGTCTTGGGCTCTCACGTGCGGGTCCGCGCCGCACTCCTGCACCAGGTACTGCGTCACCTCCAGGTGGCCCTCCTGGCACGCCAGGTACAGGGGCGTGGCACCGTTCTTGGTTTGCGCATTCACTCCCCTGTGGAGACACAGCACCCACCTCGGGCTCTCAGCGCCCACCTGCCTCCAGAGCTTCTTAACGCCCCTCGCCCTCTTTTGGGGAGCTCTGGAGGGCCGGGGGCGTGGGTTGGAGGAGGTTTAGTTACCGGGTCGCGCTGTACCTGGCTCCCTCTGGACTCGGTCCTGTGCCAGCCTCCCTCAGGGGGGCCCCCTCTGGCCTGGCCACTCCCCTCCAGCAGCCTCCCTGCTTCCGTGTACATCTGACCGAGTTAGTCCCTGTCCTCAGTAAATAGCTCAACCTCTTCACCAAGGTCTACAAGGATGTGGTGAGCTGGCCTCTTCTTACCTTTTCAGCCACACAGAACCACTGTCACCGTGAGCCCCCAAGTCCCCAAACCTTCTGTCTTACCTTTATGCCTTTGATCAGGTCCCTCTCTATCTGGAATGCACTTCCTTCCTCCTCCCTAGGACTCAGTCCAGATCCCTCCTCAGTGAGGCCTGCCCTGATTTCCCCAGGCAGAGCCTGCCTTTCCTACCTCTGCCCTGTACGGCCCTGGGCTCACTCCACGGACTGCCTATCATGCTTGATTGAACGTAACTGATTTTGGCCTCTGCCTCCCCTGGAAGACTTAATTCCCAGAGGGCAGAGTAGTAGGGTTGCCAGGTAAAACACAAGATGCCCTGTTAATTCTGAGTTGCGAAACAAGAAATCATCTTCTAGCATAAGTATGTCCCAAACAAAGCATGGGGCATACTTATACTAACACATTATTTGCCATGTATCTAAAGTTAAACTGGATATCCTGTTGTTAATCTGGCAACTGTACAGGAGGCCACCATTCACCAAGCACCTCTGGTGTGCTATATATTGGTGGGCGGGCTGGACTTCAAGCTGTATGACAAAGCTGTCATCATCAAGACAGTATGGGACCGGCACAATAACAGACACTCAGATCAATGGAACAGAATAGAGAACCCAGAAATGGACCCACAGACGTATGGTCAACTAATCTTCGACAAAGGAGGAAAGACTATTCAATGGAATAAAGAGTCTCTTCAGCAAGGAAGAGGGAAAGCCTGACAGCTACATGCAGAAGAATGAACCTGGACCACCTTCTTACACCATACACAAAAATAAACTCAAAATGGATGAAGGACCTAAATGTACGACAGGAAGCCATCAAAATCCTCGAGGAGACAGCAGGTCAACCTCTTTGACCTTGGCCGCAGCAACTTCTTACTCAACACGATATTGGTGGGCAGGTTCTCATCGAATGCCCCAGCTTAGGTCCTATTGTCATTCCCGTTTTGCAGAGGGGCAATTGAGGCTCAGGGGCTTTGACTTGCCAAAGGTCACATAACTGGTAAATGGCATTGGAGCGTATGTTTGTGATGCAGAGCCTGATGCATGCAGTAGGTACACAGGGAGTGAAGAGGCCGCTCCCTGTGCTCACTCCTGGGCTTCCCTGAGGCTCAGCTTGCGGGTGTCATTGCTCCTCGTGCCCGTTCCCCCAGCTGCTGAAGAAGAGTCCTAACCGGGGAACTGGGAGTCAACCCCATGAGGTGGAGTGCTGCTGGGAAACAGGGAAGCTGGCCCTGCCACTGACGGAGTCGGGGTGTGGACAGCCCAGAGCACAGTTACCACAGTTGGGCACTAGGTGGAGCCACAACCCAGGACCAGATACAGGAGCTGTGTGCCCACCGCCCTCCCCAGCAAGTCTCAGAAGCTCCCTAGGGGCTGAGCCCCCCTGTGCTGGGTCAGCCCTCTGGGCCCCAGGAAGTGCAGTTCTTACCTGACTTCACATCTTCCCGCCCATCTGCCTCCCCAATCTATCTGCTGGCGACATCAGTCACACACTCCGCCAGTGTCTGTCCACGCCCTCCCTCCCTCATCCAAGTGCTCGCCCAGCTGTCCGTCAACATGGGCACCAGGCCACCCAGTCCTCTTCTCTCTGCCCTCTCACCCACCCTGTCATGACATGACTTGGTCCCTTTCCCAGCTGACTTCTCCCTGTCCCTAAAACCCTGGTCCCTGTCCACTTCCCGGACCCCTGACCCCAGGCCACCTGCAGCCCCACACTGGGCGCCTCCCTGCTCTCTCCTCACTCCTGACACGGGCACCTCCTCCCTAGACACAGAGCTGCCATTTTCTAGGGCTGATGCGGAGTGTGGCACTTCACACATTTGGGGTGGGACAGAGACCATGCCTGGCTGCCCTCCATGACCCAACCCGTGCCAGGGCAACGGTGCTCACGAGCCGACAGGGCACACGGCGACAGAGACTCACCCACACGCCTCTCCCCAGGAACAGTCTGGCTTGCGGCCACCAGCCTCCACGCCCCAGTGCCATCGTCACCCCCCACACATGCATTCACATACTGATGTGACAGTAACGGCCTGTTTAATATTTCATGACCGACACTCAGTGGCCTGAATTATTCACCCCGTAACCAAGACACAGTGAGTGCCGGGGTCCTGGGGACCAGAGGCTGAGGGGGCCACCACCCAGGACCCACTGAGGCCTCTCTGGGGAGGTCTGAGGCAATGGCGACACCATGGGGCGCCAGATACACCAGGAGCCCTGCCCTCCCAGCACCCCCTGCTTGGCAGGTGTCCACCATCCAGGGGTGGCCAGCCAGCCTGGGAAGGTCTGAGAAGGTCTGAGAAGCTGGCACAGGGCAGGACCTGAGCAGGAGGGGGCAGTCCTGCGCACAACCTCCTGCCAGGCCAGTGGCTGACACTCCCCGCTGGAGTCCCTGGGCCAGAGTAAACACTCAATAAACGTTCCTGCCTACCAGCCTTCCAATTAGCATTTCAGCCTCTCCCGTCCTGGAGCCACAGCCTCCAGCCCAGGAGGCCCCAGCACAATGAGGCAGATATGCTGATGGGCGAGGGTGAGGGCGAGGGCGGGGAAAGGGGGTCCCTGGCCTTGTCACCTACTTCGGCCTGGAGGCAAGAAGGGCGGGGGCACCCTCATGCTCACTGGGGGAAGTCAGAAAAATATGGAGGAGCACAAGGAGCAAACTTAATTAATTTCAGTGGAATATATCATAGTAGCGACGATAATCGGTACCAGTGAAAGCAGGTCTGTTTCAGGCACCGTGATGAGCACAGAGCTTTCTCACCACGTCCTCTCAGCGACGGATGGGGGAGGTGCTGGCTTTGTTCCCATTTTCCAGATACTGCGCAAAGAAGCCTAGGACCGCTCGATGAGAGACAGGCAGAGAAAGACCTGGGCACAAGAGGGACTTAGGGGGACGCCTGGGTGGCTCAGTCGATTAAGCGTGTGACTTCGGCCCCCCCATCAGGCACGGAGCCTGATTGGGATTCTCTCTCTCCCCCTCTCTCTGCCCCTCCCCCACTCACACTGTCTCTTTTTCAAAATAAATAAATAAACTTTAAAAAATTTAAAAAAAAAAAAGAGGAACTGGGGTATGAACCCCCCCAAGCTGTGTCAGCGTCTTGCCTCTTGTCTCTTTGATCTCAAAGAGGGGCAGTAATCGCCCAGGAAACATGCTTGGAGACCCCTCAGCACAGGCCTGTCACCTGGCATGAGCCTGAAACCGTTGTTATATTTTGGGATTCCCTCCTCCCTGTACCTCTGTGGGGACACGGCTGGGCTGGGGTGTCCGGGCTCAGCCCAGCACAGGTCAGGCCAGGCATTGTTTCTGTTGTGGAGGGTCACCCAGAGGACAGGGCCAGGGTCCTGCGGGGGTACTTCTGGCCTCAGGATCCCACCTGCTCTAACCCATCGGGTTCTAGCCAAAGTGACACGAAGGGTAACCATTCCAGTCCCGGCCCCTGCCCTTGGCCCTGGCCTCCAGCCACCACCCTGACTCTGTAGCTCACTGGGTAGGACCCTAGTGGGTTATTAAGCTCCTGAGCCTCAGTTTCCAAATACGGCAAATGGGCATCATAATTGTCCGGCATCTCCTTGCCTCTTATGAGGGAATGGAAGAGGAAGCTTTGGAAGGTTGCACATTTCCTTGGAGGGAAGGCGGCTCTTTGCCTCCTGGTGTGGCAGCCGTATCCTGACCAGCCAACCCCCTCCCCCACCCACTGGGTCTCAACTGTCACTCCCTGTGACCAACCCCAGGGGTTTCCCCATGCTCCTCTGACTTGGCCATTCCCTAGCACGTGCCCCTCCTCCCTCTCCGGAACACCTGCTCCTCCTGGCTTCCTGTACCAGCAGCCGACTCTCACGCCAAGCCTCCTAAGTCTTCTTTGCTGGGCCCTGGCCTTCACCTGACCTCCAAATGTGGGGATACCCCAAGGCCTCCTTTATGAACACAGTCTCCCCACCGGTAAGGTCATCCACTTCCCAGGGTCAAAGGCCACCTGCACCCCCATGCTGCTCCTCTCTCTAGCTTGGACCTGGAGTCTCTATCTGGCCTTCACCTCCGCCCACCGGTCCTTGTGTGCATTGCCCAGGCCTCTGGAACTTTACGTGCCTAGAGCAGATCTCTTGCCTTTCTCCCTCAAACCCTCCCCGACCTGCCAACCCCATTTTGGCAAAGGACACCACACTACCCTCCCTTGAGCCCAAGCTCTAGGAGTCTTTGGAGACCCCCAACCCTTGACCTCTTTATACGCCTGAAGTATAAATCACAACAATCACACGAACCATATTTTTCTCCCTCTTTGGAAAAAAGAGGACACGAGTGAACTGCGACAACACAGGAAACGTGGAATGCTTGCTGGAAATCTCCGACCAGGACCGGTGCCGGCTTGCTGTTGCCACTGCTGTGGGCAGCAAGGAGCGACCCGCCCACAGAACCAGATTCAGGTCAAAGAACAGCATTTCCGGTGGCCAACAATTTCTGCTCCAAGGGAGGTCGGGAAGGAGCTGATCCTATGAGGATCAGGGGTAAGGCCGCCTTGGATAAAATCACGGATCCTTTGGTGGCTCTACGTCTCTTAGCCTCCACTCACGCCTCCTGGCTCATTTGAAAAGATCCCAAATTAGGCTTGATGCAGGGAAGAAATGCAGTGATGATTTCAGGGAGGTTCTAGGACAGC